AATCACGACGGACCTTGTCTGGCAGCCACCGACTGCACGCCCAAGGTGGTGGCCGCAACGACAATAATCAATCGAGTGAGCTCCGTCCTTGGTACGGACCTGGTCTTGCGACTGTAGTATCGTGTGTACGAGAAGCTTGGTCGGAGCTGCCGGTCTTCTCGCCGTTTCGAAATACTTCAGGATGGACTGTGCAAATGGAACGCGTCTCGAGCTACTGCAAGTCGCTCTTGCGTGCAGGGGGCCGAGATCCTGCCACATGGGCCGCTGCTGTCTGCGTATAGGGCGGGCGCCCACATGGTCCTCCACCAGCGGACGCAAGACGAGGAAGCTGGCGCTCCATCTGCTCGGCGTTGCGATCTTCCACGCGCGCGGTGGCCCCACGATTGCCGCGGCTCCGATCCGCCGCCCGCCATCCCGGTCGTGCCACGCGCCGCCCGCGTTGCAGCTGTCGCGACCGCTGATTGGTGCAACTTGATAGGGGAACTGGCAAAGCAAGGGTGTCTAATGACTTTTACCTACTTGAACGTCATGGAGGTCAAACGGCGTAGGTTAAACTGGCGGCGCCGCGCGGAACGCATACGATGCATCCCACCGTCCGTTGCCATCGCCATGGTACGTCGAATATGCAGACTCGCTTCGACCGCGTCAAGGCGGCATATCGCGCGTGCAATGACGCACATGCGAGGAATGGCCGAGTGCGTTAAACCGGTTTGACCCAGAAAAACGCAGCCAAAGCCAGTGCTGGCTAGGCAACCCACAATCAGACAAGCTTGCGACGACGACGATGTCGGCGATTCGATGGAACCCATGGGGCGTCAACTACGCCGGGAAGGAGATCGAGCAGATGCAGTTCGTGCACCGCGTGTACCTCGAGGCCATGGGCATCGAGGCCATCGACCTGCCGCCGACGCTGCAGATGAACGCGACGTTCACGGCCCCGCTCTTCGTGCCGACGAAGGCGTCGTTTGACGAGCACACGTTTGTGCGGCAAATGCAAGGCGTCGTCGGCTTGCTGCGGCAGCCCGCGGAAGAGATCATCTCGTGCATCTGCGGCTACCAAAAGGAGCGCGCCGACCGCTTCCAGTTTGGCTCGGGCTACATGAACGACCCGCGCACGTTGCTGCTCGAGGAGATCAAGGAATGGGCCATGTCGCGCCTCGCGCCGGCGGCGTGCACAACCGAGTCGGTCGAGCGCGACGTCGAGAAGCGCAAAAACTACATCACACAGCTCCAATATGTGGGCGGCGACCTCTTTGCACCGGGCAGCGGCGAGCGCTCGCTCCTCAAAACGCTCAAGGACATTCGCGAGATCCTTGAAAACCGTGTGCTGCCGACGATTGCGTGCGAGCGCGCGCAGGCGAGCGCAAAGGACCACCTGACCGTCGTGGAGGCGCGCGCGACCGACGCGCTCATCCACGGCGTCCAGTTCCTCTTCAACGTCTTCCGCAACACGGGCAATGCGCCGGCCGACTGCACGATCACGAACCTCCAGTCGCAGCAGCACAGCGCCATGAAGGTCGCATCGTAGATCGTAGATTTGGGCTCACGTCATGTCGTGTAGGACGCGATGACCTCCAAGTCGGGCCAGATGCTGCAACTGCTCTTGTCGACGCCGTCGTTCTGGTACTGCGATTCATCTTCTTCCATTTCAAAGCGCATGCAATGAGGATGATGACGATGTAGCAAGCTTTTCCCCGAGAGCCATCACCACGTGACGGGCGGCGAGAGCAAGCTCATGGCGTTGACAAGCGAACAGCAGCTCCAGATCCAGTCGGATGCGGTAGGACATGCTTGACCTTGGAGACACGCTCACGTAAACTAGGTGTTTTGCGACTCGGCCGCGACTGCGATCGTACCGGCGATCCTCACGCCCAAGGAAATGACGCCCAAGGCCTTTTTGACGCAGAGCAACTCGGGCGTCATTACGTTTTTGACACCGGAAGACTATGGTACTCTGGCTAATGCTCTGAGCTTAGAGCTCTGACATTGCGATAGACATGTACACCAAAATGCACGGGCTCCTCAAGCTGCTCGCCGACCTCGTCGTGTCGTGCCGCCAAGCGCGCCTCCTCGCTGGCACCGGCGGCGACCTCCTCGTCTATGGTCCTGGCGGCGCCCACCTGCGCCTCCTCCTCGAAACCATGCAGGCGGTACATATGGCTATCGTCGATGTACCTTCGAGCGCTGGGGTAGGTGCAAATGGAAATTGTGCAGTGCGCAACGACGCTCAAGCAGCGCGGAGTCGCCGAGCTTGACAAGCTCCGGTCCTCGTACAGCGAAAAGAACTGGCGCATTTGCTTCTCACGTGTCTTGGCGCTTGAAACGTACCTCACCAACGACGTCTCGGCGTGCAACGACCCAATTCGCAAGATCTGCGAGGCGACGACGCCGGCCTACGTCCTCCAACAAGCCAAGGCACGCGTTTTCTGATGGTGGAGGCCGCTTCTCACGCATAACCTGTAGGAATTCAAAGCCCAGACGAGCAAGTGGGTCGTCGAGAACGCGAGTGCTTGCAGTCATATCGCTGATACGCTGCATCTCAAGGGCCTTCCTCCGATGCCCCAGATTACGTCGAGCCAGATGCGTACCATCACGGCAGGCTAGTTTGTCAAGCATCAACACCAGCATCGGACGCTGTTATTTTATGGTGTGATTTTCTTGACTTGATATTTTTGGGTTCAAGTTGCGCTTTGCCGGCATGAGAAAAACGTGTGCTTAGTTACACTTTGCTTTTGTATGATGGGTGATAGAGGCCTAAGTCCATTTCCGCATCAAGTTGAAGGTGCTAAAAGACATGCTGCGACAGCGCGCCACGATTCTCAAGTTGCGACGTGGCCGCTGACTTCACGCTTCTGCCATAGTCAGCTGATGATACATTTAAGTATAGCCCACGCCCAGTACTATTTTGCACTCGCTGCTCATTGTGATGAGGTTGCTCCATGCGCAAGCTTGCTACATGTGATCGCCTTCTGTGGCTTTGAGAAAAGGCCGCGCTGCGATATCGGTGCACCCAACTCTACGCAGCAGCGTTGCTCACAGCGGCTGGCGACCGGCGAGATCCTGCAGGAGACGCCGCGTCCGTTCGCCCCTTCTCGCGCAGCAAGGAAACGCAGGGGTATTCCTTCCTCCATGCAGCATCCGCATCCGCAGCATCATCATCCAGTCGGCTCGATGACGCCAAGACACTAAGATTGGGTGCGTTTAGCCCTTGTCAATGACAGGCATGCCCGCTCAAGTGCGCTATCAACCCGCCCCTCTCGCCGTTGGCAATCCACTCTACATTTGTATGGTTGGATTAAGTACGTAAAAAGGCAGCTGCCCATGGAGAATTTGTATACTATAGTGAAGAGAAGCTTAATCGTATTGCTCGCGACCGCAATACTTGCTTTTGTCGTCTTCGCCGCAGGACGAGCATTCCACGAGCATGGCCGGCGTCCGATGGAACCCATGGGACCGAGGGTACTCGGGCCTCGAGGTCGAGCAGATGGGCTTCCTCCACAAGACGTACTGCGAGGTGTACAACGTGGACCCGAAGGACCTCCCGCACATCCTGCAGATGGACGACAAGTTCCGCGTCCCGCTCTACTCGCCGCAGGTCGCCGACTTTGACGAGCACACGTTCGTGCGCAAGATGCAGGACATGACGGGTTTGCTCAAGAACCCGGCCGAGGGCATCATCTCGAGCATCTGCGCGTACCAGAAGGACCGCCACGAGCGCGTTCTCTTCAACGCGTACCTCAACGACCCGCGGACGCTGCTCCTCGAAGAGATCAAGGCGTGGGCGCTCAACACGCTCGCGTCCGCGACGTGCACGACCGAGTACATTGTCAACCAGGTCGAGTGCCGGATGCAGTACATCAAGAAGATCCAATATGGTCAGCAAAAGCTCTTTACGAGCGGGTCGGGCGAGCGGTCGCTCATGGCGACGCTCAAGGACGTGCGCGAGATCCTCGAATACCGGTAGATACTGCACATAGGCATGTCGTCGTATCTTCATCTCGCGTCTAGCGTGCTGCCCATCATCGAGACGGAGCGGGCGCATGCGTCGGCCAAGGAGCAGCTCACGATCCTCGAAGCGAAGGGCACGGACGCGCTCATCCACGGCGTCCAGTTCCTCTTTTATGTCTTCCGTAACACGCCCAACGCGCCCAACGACTGCACGATTAGCAACCTCCAGTCGCAGCAGCATGCGGCCATGAAGGTCTCTCGCCGCGCTTCTACAGGATCTCATCGTCGCGTCGTCTCTAGGACGCAATGAACACCAAGTCGGGGCAGATGATGCAGTTGCTGCTCAACACGCCGTCGTTCAAGGAACTCTTCCCCGAGAGTCCGTATGCAACCAACCAAAAAGACAAGGCGCCGCAGCCGCTCCTGCTGCAGTGGACGCCCGAGGAGGCCAAGGCCATGGAGACCTCGGCAGTCTTTTGCGACATGGACACGACGGCCATCATTCCCGCGGTGCTCACCAAGAGCAACTCGCAGATCGCGCCCGTCGAGTTCTTCAAGGCCTCCAACTCGGGCCTTGTTGCGCTCCCCGCCGATAGCGCGCCGACGGCCTACGGTATTTCATGACCCAGGAGCCTTGTGAAGATGTCTCATGACGACGTAGAGTCGTTCGTTCGCATGCACGGCATGCTCAAGCTCATGGCCGACTTGATTGTGAGCTGCCGCAAGGCGCGGCTTCTCGCGGGCCCCGGCGGCGACCTCCTCGTGTATGGCCCCGGCGGCGACGAGGTCCGGCGGCTCATGCAGTCGTGGCAAGCCGTGCAGGGCGAGATGCGTCGGCTTGTGAACGACATGACGCAGCTCGGCGTGCAGGAGCTCGACAAGATGAAGTCGACGCAGGAGCGCAACTGGCGCCACTGCTTCAAAGAAGTGCTGAGTTTGCAAAACTACATTGCAAACGACATTGCGGCGACGGTCGAGCCGATCCAGATGATCCACCGCAACACGGACCCGGCGCGCGTCCAGCGGCTCTTGCACGAGGTACGTTTGGGATTTGCAGACAGAGTACGAGCCACACCCTTCTAGTTTCGGGAAGCGACTGGGCACTGGGTCAACGAGAACAGCACGATCTGCAACCAGATCAGCGGCACGCTGGGGCTGCCCATGGTGGTTGACGGCCAGCGCGTCTTGCACAAGCCCGAGATTACGATGATTGAAGAAGGCGACGAAGGCGAACCGGAAGGCGAGACCGTTCTCAACACCGCCATGGTGGTGGCGCGCGCGCCAAAATCCAACCCGACGCCACCGACGACAACCGCAGTCGTCAAGCCACGCGCGTCGACATTCCAGGAAGAGTCGACGAACCTCGTCAAAGGCATTGGCAACTCGGTCTTTTCACTCTTTGGCGTCTCGACCACGTCGGCGCAGAGTGCCAACACGACGTCCGAGATGCTGCTGCCGGACGTGGCCGTGCCGCCGGCGCCCAAGTCGGCGCCGATTTCGCGCAACGACGCGGCGCCCGAGCCGCCCATGGGTGCGTTTTGTGCTTGCGAGAAATCAGATCTGAGATGTGGTCTAGGTGCTCTGGATTCGCTGCTTTTGGTGCGGCAAGTCGTCCAAGCCATTGGCGCGCTCTCGTGGAACACGCGGTCGACCGTGCAGACAACGATCCACCTCGACGATCGCAGTGAGATGGACGCATTCAACATTCTCTGCGCCGTGTACGAGGCCGTCGGCGTCGTGACGTCGCCGACGCTCCTCTCGCAGCTGCAGCAGTACCGCCAGCAGCTGTTGCACGTGCTCGGCATGTACTTGCGCTTCCTCCTCAACGGCGTCTCGGTGCTCCAGCAGCGCATGGTGCAGCAAGACAGCCTCCGGTCGCTGCAAGGCATGCTACTGCTCATGCAGCGCCTCGAGCCGAGCTGCGTCGAGTTGCAAAGCGAGCTCGGGAAGCTCCAAGCGTCGTTCGATATGATGATGGACGCGTGTGCTGAGATGAAGGCGGGCATGCAAGAGGTGCTCAACACGACGCCGCTCCTCGACCCGCGGGAAGAGACGGATGGCCCGGCCATGTATGCACTCAACAGCATCGGGTCGCTCTCCAACATGGGCTGGAACAAGACCAACACCCCGTCGCCCGGTACTTTTCGGCGACTTTGGCATCGGGTTTGCTCATGTTAGTTGCGTAGCGATCCAGTCGCACATGGCGTACATGGACCAAATGGGGACGCAAATGGGCTACCACAAACAAAACCTCGCGGGGCTGCAGCAGATGATTGGCGAAGGCGCTGCGGCGATTGAGAAGGCCGAGACCAAGCTCCAGGTATCGCGTCTCTGTTTTAGTTGAACGAGATGGACTGAGAACTTGTCTAGTGCCTCGTGGACGACTTTACGTACCGCAAGCTGCAGCTCGAAGCCAAGATGAAGGCGTCGCTCGATCCCAAGGGCGTCACGCAAGCCATGCCCAATATTTATGCCGATATTGGATATATCTTTGGGGTGCGCCAACATATGGAGAGTATTATCTGATCGGTGTATATGAGTAGGCGGTCTACGAAGGCTTCCAGCCACCGCTGTACAACGAGAGCGTCGACAAGTGCGTGGACGATTTCTTCCACCAAGAGACCAAGCACCTCAAGGCCGTGCTCAGCCTGCTTTAGCTTTTTCTGCTCTATCCTCTATATATTGTCGCCCTCAAATATACGCCCGAATATAACGCGCGAGTAGTATATTGCATGTCACCGGCCGTCAATCTCGCGCGCGGGGCCCTTGGCGCCACCGACAGGTACGATCATGACGGTGACGGCGCTGCTTTTACGCCGGGTGGACGGCGGGATCGCCGACGACTTGCGTCGCAGCTCGGGCGTGATCGGGATCACGTCACCGGATTTGGACGACACCATTTCGGTCGTTGTCTTGGTCGATTTCGTGGTCGTCGTTGTCCCAGCCCTGGACGTGCGCTTGCTGGCAATCGAGGGCCGGTCGCTTGTCTTCTTGCGCTGGTTCTTGTTGCTCGCTCGCGCCTTGTTGACTAGACCATAGCGTCATGAGTCTATCAATCTTTCAATCTTTCAAACGATCCGTACAAATGGCAATGTGGGCCACAAACAGGATCTTGCGCTCGTCGTCCGAAAACGTCTGCCGCGCCTTGGCGTAGGCAAAGTAGTAGACGGAAAAGACGGCCCACATGCCTAGAAACGCCAAGAACGCGCGCTGCCCGTCGTTCTGAAACCCGGCGATCGACACGAGGTTCAAGAGCCACACGAGAAGCGGCAAGACGGCGCCGTAGAGACCGAGGGGACTCGTGTACTGGCGCTCAATGTGCGGAAACGAGAGCCGGAGGTAGATGAACCCAATGCACTGCGCAATGTAGGCGCAGAACGCACTGCAGATGCACACGGAGAAGAGCGAGTCGCCGATCGACGGCACAAAGTACGTGACCAAACACACTCCGTAGCCGACGCTGGACGTGAGGACGAGCGCGGGGCCGTGCACGCGGTGTGGAAACCACGTTTGTAGAAAGATGGGCGGGAGGAGCTGGGACCCGGCGATCGCGATCGTGAGTTTGCTGTACGAGTAGATGAAGCCAAAGATGGTCGCAAACGTGGCCGGTAGCGACAAGAGCGTGGCCGTTGATGCGGAAATGGAAAACATCTTCATGAAGCCTAATGAACATCATAAATTTACTCCAACTCGTGGAAACGATGGTACCATTGTTGAACGGAACGGTGTCGTCTTGAAGGGCTACGTCGCCGGGCGCTACAAACGACGAAGCGACAAGCACAAGAATGCCCGAGAATAGCAGTGTCGCCATGCACGCGAGCTGGCCGCGCGGAACGACGCGCCGGGGCAACGTCGCGTCGTCGCTCGCCAAGTTGAGCGACTCGATGCCGACAAAGAACCACGCGGTTGTCGGAAGCACACGGAGGAATTGGTGAGCGTCGAACGCGTGGCGCTCGCTGCTGAAGGCAGTCAGATCGGTCGTGTTGAGGCTAAAGCAGCCGAGTACGTACACGGCAATGATCACCAGCGAGACAAACGCAAGAATCCGGTTCACGCGCCAAAAGATGATGCCGCCGACGAGGTGGACGCCAAGCGCGGTGGCGTAAACGAGCAGCCAAATGGCTGGCTGCAGCGGCTCCATATCTGGCAGCATGGTCGTGACCATCTTCCCGAGCATCAGCACCGACGACGCGACATACGCAATGTACTCGAGGGTTTCGCAGCACCCCATCATGAAGCCCAGATAGAACCCGAGCGAGCAGCGCGCAATGCCATAAGCGCCGCCGGCAAACGGCAGCGCGCTCGAGATCTCGGCGAGGCAAAGTGTCATGCAGCAGTACGCAAACCCCATGAGCCCTGTCGCGCCGAGGTAGCTGTAAAAGCCAGCGACAAGCCCCGTGTTCCATGAGAAGTACTGGCCGCCGACAACGATTGTGATACCGAGCGCCCAAATGTCGACCGACGAAGCATCGTACCGAGGTGTGGACAGCGCCATGTCGAGTCGAGTGTGGACGACGGGATCGGACGTAGTTGGAGCCTAAAATTACAAACCAACGCCCGCCGTTGAATGATAGCCCGCAGTGCAATGACAAGTTGCAATGTTTTCTCCGGCAAGCGTACGTCGGGGTGACGCTCGTCCAGTAGGAAGCGAGAGGAGGGAGCGTTAACGCACTCACCTTGAAACGGTCGAGACAGATTAGTCAAAAATGGCCTTCAACAAGCACCTCCCACTGTTGGGACGCAGGAAGAGCGCCAACGCCGGTCGACAACAGCTAGCGTACAGCGTGTGCCGATCAGTTGGAAGCGATTCCTCTGTCACCACTGCACAGGACGTTATCGAGCCCGCAGACAAAGCTTTGAAATACTGTTGTAATATGCATTTGTGTCGTGCGCTGTTGGCAACTACGATCTGATTGGTTGGTTTGCTCGAACTATAACTAGATTCGTCCTTGCGACACACCAAGCAGACACACCAAGCAGTGCTCTAGCACAAGAGTACGTCCATATAACTCTTGTTTGGCAAGTTTCACGGTGGTGGATGCGACCTGTGGCCCCTCCAGCTACGTGGCAAAGCCTCGAATGTACAAAGCTACATGCAGTAGCTGTAGTAAGCACTGACTCGCGTCGGTATCAAATATATGCATTTCTCTTAGGACACGGGGGCAACCTTGACAATCGCCTTGGTCGGCTGCGCACCGGCGACCGTTTTCCGCTCTGCAATGCTGTCCTTGGGCAGCTGCTTCCAGTGTGCTGGCTTGCCCGCTGTCGTCGTCGACTTTTTCTTGTACTTTGACTT